TTCGGGTCCAAATGTTCGTTTCCTCTGTTTGACTGGCTTCATCCTCTTGTCGACGTTAAGTCGATGTAGGGCTACCTGAGGGGGAATGCCCGACAAATCTTGGGCTTTCCATGCGAACACATCTCCATTGTGTCGTAGGAAGTTGATTAGTTGCTGCTCCGTCTCAGGATCTAAATCAGATCCGATGCGTAGGAGTTTGGAATTATCTCCAGGTGTGAGCTCTATGAGCTTAAGCTCTTCGACAGCCGCTAGCTTGATGCTATCGTCTGGTACACTGATGAGGATTTCTTTATTGTCCTCAATGATTGCATTGACCCACTTCCGTTTGTCGGATTTTTGGGTATCGTCTCCCTTTCCGGGCGGTTTAGGCTTCTTTGAGGGTTCTCGTAGGGCCCTTGCATAGCATTCTCGAGCGAGACGTCTATCTCCAAGCACTTCTCCCATTCCATAGGGAGTAGGGAACTTCCATTTCTGATGGTAGGAGGAAGGTACTGACTTGAATGTGTGGATGGCTGGCCTCCCCAGAATGATGTTGTAGGGTGATGGCCGGTCGACGACGAGGAACTTGATTAGTTTCGTGATTCGACAGGGGTCTTCCCCTAATGAAACAGGCAGCTCCACTTCTCCCATTGACAAAATGCCTTCTCCTGTGAATCCTTTCAGGGGTGTGGAGATGGGACTAAAACGGGCATTATCTATGCCTAGCTGCTTAAAAGCATGGAGGTACATGATGTCAGCTGAGCTCCCACCATCCACTAATATTTTTTTTGACCAAGAAGTTGGCCACCGTTGTTGTTACCGCTAATGCGTCGACATGGTCTTCCTCTGGACCTTCAAGGTCGGAGGAGTTGAAGACTATGCTGTGATCAGGTCTTCGTATCTGATATACGCGTTCGGATGGAGAAGCGCGTTATTGATTCATGCGCGCTGATCGAGCGAGTGTGCGTCTTGCATTATGTGAATCGCCTCCCGCCGGTCCTCCGGAGATGAAGGAGATGATTCCTCGGGTAGGTTGGTTATCATTGTTATCTAGGTCACGTCGATGACCTCCATCCTCTCGTCTTTGCTGCTGCTCTCGATTGTTATCTCGCCGTGGAGGATCATCACGGCGCTTATTTCGCGGCTTATCAATGTATTCGCCTAAATGGCCTTGTTTGATCAGCCTTTCAATCGCCATTTTGAGTTGTGCACATTCTTCCGTAGTATGCCCTCTGTCCTTATGGAATCGGCAATACCGATCCGATTTCTCTCGCTTTGCGTTTGGCTGCATAGGACGTGGAGGTTCTGTTAAACCTTTCTGCTCTATCACGTGAAGGATTTCTGTGAGGCGAGCGTTTAGCGGAGTGAACCTATTGTAGGAGGAAGAGGGTTGGGTTTGAGGTGGAAATGGTGGACGTCGGTCGTCACGTCTCCTATTGTCTTGACGGTCATCTTCTCTTTTCCTTTTAGGAGGAGCGTGGGTAGAGGCTTCCTCTATCCTGACGTATTTTTCGGCTCGATTCAGCAACTCCTCTAAGTTGCCTGGGGGTCTTCCGGCGATAGATTCTTTGAATCTACCAGGTTTCAAGTTCTGCTGCATAATCCCGGAAAGCATGTCTTGCCCCACACTGGGGACTTCGTGGACGGCCTCTACGAAACGCTTAATGTAGTTGCGGAGCGTTTCGTTATCTCTCTGTACTACAGAGAAAAGATGAGCTGGGGTCTTGGCGTATTGTTTGTTGATGGCGAATTGGTTGGTGAATCGGGTCGACAACCGAGCGAAGGTGTCTATGGACCCTAGGGGTAGGGAGTTGAACCAATTCATTGCCCTCTTGGAGAGAGTGGTGCGGAACATCTTGCACATCGCAGCATCTGTTGGGCCATACAAATCCGCCATGGCACTGAATTTCTCTATATGCTCCTGTGGGTCGGTGGTCCCTTCAAATTGAGGTAACCCCGAGATCTTTACTCCCTGAGGCAATACCTCGTTGAGGATGTCTATGGTGAAGGGACTGCGTCTTGCCGGGAGAGGCATCCTCTCACCCATTTGATTATTTGGTTGGGAGAAAAGGTTTTGGCGAGACATTCGGCTGTTTACTTCGCCTTCTCCCTCGTTAAAGAGAGGAATTCTTGGTGGTGATGCATTCCCCCGTAGGGGTGAGCGTCGACGATGCTGTCTGGGCTGTGCTCCTCTGTGATTAGTAGATAACTGCACTCGGGACCGTGGGTCCGACGTAGAGGAGGAGACACTTATTTGATTCTGGATCGGCGGTGGGGCCACTGGTGGTACTATAGGTGGAGCTTGTGCTGGTATCGCATTGGGAGCGTTTGCTCCCATCGTGGCGATATATTGAGTTACGGCCTCCGTGGCGGCGCGAGTAGAAGCTTCCGCTATCATACGTTGGAGTGCGTCCTCGGTTATCTGAACCGTTCGAGGAGCAGGGAGTGGTGGATCGGCGAGTGGTGGGTCCCGAGGGGGGATCACCTGAACCTCGCGAGGTGGATCTGCAGTACGTGGAGGAGCTGGCTCCGTGGCACGTGGAGGAAGTTGTTCCGCGGCGCGTGGAGGAGGTGGGATGCCAGATCCTCCACGAGCGGGGAGGTTATTAGCTGTGTCGTTTTCTCTCCGAGCTGACGCCTCAGGAGGATCTTGTTGGCTACGTGATCTGGTTTGCATCGTTCCCACAGACGGCGCCAAAATGATGAAGCTAAAATATAGCTCACCTAGGGTAGTATAGAAAACAAGTTGGGAGAGCAAAGCTGATCAGTAGCTGGTCAACTCGATGTTCCTGAGGTCCCTGCGAAAAAAGCACACGTGAACTAAGCCGGGGGTTGATCCGGCGGAAACCCCTCCGACGCTCAAGTCAGATGTACGGATCGTAGAGATAGCTGAGAGAATAATATTCGAGGTTGATTGTCGATAAAATGAGAACGTACCTTTACGAATGAGTAAACCATCTATTTATGTATTATTGAATGGGTTGGGCTTACTTTGTTGGGCCCAAGCCTTATTTTGAAGGAGCTTGGGCTTTCGTGTAATGGGCCACATGTGTGTGACTTGGCTTTCTTGTAATGGGCCCAATTGGTAGATAAATTTGAGGGCCCGTTGGGCCGGCCCATTTAGGTATATCACAAAGCAACTATAATTCTTGCAAAACATCAATAGAAAAATAATTCAAAAACACAATATATATATATATATATATTTCCAACATGATTATTTCAAACATATATATATATATTTCCAACATAATTCAAACATGATTATTTCCGAAATACAATCGGATCGGAAATCGGAATTTCCAATAATTTTATATGTAATTCCAATTCCGTTCCAAAAATAATCGGAAAAATCGGAAATCGTAAATCGGAAATTGGAATGAAAAAAAATGTTCCAAATTCGTATTATTTTATAGTGAATTATAAAATAAATTGCATAAATAAATGAAGGAAAATTTTTAAAATACAATATATAATTAATTTAAAATTAAAATTCAATTAACCATTCCAATTTAACAATAAAAAGAATTAAGTAAATTTAAAAAACCTTAGATCAAATCCAGCCGTTGATATAAACACAATCCAACGGCTGGTAAAAGGCGTCATATTAAATGACGCTGTAATCCAGTGTGGCGGGTCAAAGGGCGTCGTTTTGAATGACGCCTTTTAACAGCCGTCCATTGCCCAGATTAATCTCTGGCCGTCAGATTAGGAGGACAAGATAGGAGATCTGGCCGTCAATCTCAGATCAATCCAACGGCCCTTAAAACGCGTCGTTTTAAACGACGCTTTATTGTATTTTTGTAAATAATTACAAAATGACCCCATTTCACAAAAAAAAAAACCGAAATATTCTAAAAAAAAAAATGGCCCCAAATAAACAGTACTAAACATTTGTATATGTGATGAGTTGGGCATTTTTAAATGGACCTTCATTTTACCGTGTACAAGTCCAATGGCCCAGACCCGCATCGCTAAACAGTATGACCCGATTTAAACCCGTATTAATGTGCGCACGTGCCATTGTACACGTGCAGTGCACGAGATTATACATTAACTTAAATGACATGATTATTTTAATTCCTAATAAGTTAGTGAGCAATAATTATTTTTTCTTAAGGAAAAAGACATGCACGTTTTGGTGGGTTCACTAAATATTGACTATATATGATGGTTGAATATAATTGTAATTAATTAAATGGTTTATTGGTTAGTGTCACTTTATAAATTTAATACCAATACTTCGAAAAATATGGTCTAGTCCAATATATAATAGTCCATAGGGTTTATGAATGAAAAATTAAAGATAATCCAATAAATCAGTCAACATGTGTTCAAATGCACCAAAACTAGTCAAGATAGCCAGTTTTAATTTAATTTATTTTTTTGTATGTTTGTTATGTCTTAAAATTTCTTCGACAAAGATTGGAGTTAAGCACTTCAAAATAAGGAAGCGATTACATCGACAAAGTTGAACATGCCAAAAACATGTATTTTCGTTCATGATTCTGTAGTTTGTTTTATTTGACGTAAAAATGTTACACCTAACTATTTACAATCAGAGATCAACACTGTGCTTCGCGTGTCTATTCCTTATTTCGTAAAATAAAGACTACCACTTCCATGTATTTTGCATGTAAAAAATTCAAATATATCAACATTAGGAATCATTACAATTACATTACACATTATTTTTATGGCTCCCTCACATCTACAAAAATTGCAAATCAAATCTTGATACACCAATCTCAATTCACCACAAAACTCCACCAATCCAATTAACCCAAAATTTTCCAACCAAAAAGTAGTCCGTCCATAGTGCTCTAGCTACCATGCCCCATGCCCATTAATTCTTTCTAATTTCAAACATAGCCATTTGTAGTGCTCCACTTCAATTTGTCTCATTTTGACCACCACCACCACCATCACCACCACACACCACCGCCACCACCGCCGCCACCACCACCACCGGAGGTATGACAGAGGATTTTTTTATTTATCTACTTAAAAAAGTTGCAAAATTAAAGAAAAGGCCCATCGCCAGCTCTTTGCATTTATGATCATCGATCCATCACTTCTCCCCCCACCACCCTCAACAAAGAATCGTATACTAAATATTAAATGTACAAAAACAAAAAAAAAAAAGAAAAAAAGAAAACTAAACCTGCTTACACATATACGTACAGATGAGAGACAGTGCAATGGCCAACCTACTATAAATTCTTTAAATGCACTCCCATTCTTCACTCACTTCCCCAATTTAATGCCCCCATCAGAACTTCCAGACAAGCAATTAAATGAGGGCACTCTTCCCACTATATAAATTAATATAATTTTATTTTATTTATTTTGTTTCCAAACCAGCGTTAATTGTGGTCCATCCACGTGTCTTCAATCCTCACCGTCTACTAAATCTCTCCGGTGACAATAGCGCCTCTGGATCGCCGCTCCTCAGCCGGCTCGACGAGAACAGCCCCCCCGCCGCTCCGGCCGACCGCATGAACATAGGGCTGGCGAACGATTTCGTCCTCCTCGACGAGCTGCCGCCGCCGCTGGATAAGCCGAAACGTACGCTCGACTCGGATAACGGGAACAAACCGCCGATGCTCCGCCGCCGGAAGAATGGGGATTTCATTCCCCTGTAGTAGCGGAACGAGAAAACCCTAGGTTTCGACAGTGAGCTGAACGGGGAAGGGCGTTTGCTCCATAGGCTTCCGCCTCCGCCGCGCCTGTACCGCCACGGCGAGGCGGTTACGGGCTCTAGAACTAATCTCTCCGATCCTAAGTTCCGTTCGAATCCGAACGAATACGACCGCTTCAATAGGAAATCGCGGCGGTTGAATCTGTCCTCCGATTGGTGGCTCCGCCTCGGGGATTGCTCCTGACTGATTTCTCCCTCTGTTATCGGATCCGATTCCATCGGGATTTCCGTTAGAGGTTCTAGAATTGTGGTCTCGATTATTATGTCGTCGAGGCTAGGTCTAATCCTGGCGGCCATTAACGGAGTAAACGGCGAATCCTGACGGAATATTCCGGCGCGGCAGAGGGGGCAATTCGCGTGTGACCTAAGCCATATATCAATACAGTCAACGTGGAAGGAGTGTGCGCAGACCGGAAGTGTACGGACGTAATCGTTTCCTTCGAACTCCAACAAACACACGGCGCAATCGTGGAAGCCGCTCTTCCGCGTGTAGACGGAGAGGGGGATTGTTTTGATGATCGACTCGTCGAGGCCGTACGGCGAGAGCACGTGGAACGCGTCGGTCGGATCGAACGGGTACGGCGGCGACTCGATATCGCCGCCGGACGAGGACGGGACGTAACGCCGGCGACGGCGGCGCCAGCGCCTGTAGCGGTGGTAGATGTGGATGAAGTGGCGGGAAAGGAGGCGCGAGTAGGTGATGATGACGAAGGCGGTTGCTATTATAACCACCATGGCTATCAGCGGCGGACTGAAGTCAACCGGTAATTTAGACGGCGGCGGCGACGACGATGATGAGGATGATGACGATGATAAATTCGACGACGAGTAAGAAGGCGGCGGCTCCGAAGACGAAGCTGTGGAGGCCGACGGAGAAGGAGACGGTGTCCATGGATTATCCCGGAGATGAGGCGCCGGTGCAGGGGCGAGGCGGTGGCGGCGCATGGCGGTAGACGGTGGTGGTGATGATGGTGTGAGGGTTTGAATGAAAATGGGGGAAATACTGGGGGGTGTGTTTGTTGACTGAGGTGGGTTTTGTTTTTCAGTTTTGTGGGCGGATTTGCCACGTCATTTAACTGAATTTAATGTCACGAGGGTGGGTGCAGTACCTTGTCCGCCGTGTTTGAGTTGTACCTTTAGCTTTAGTTGTATTCTAATTATTACTCTCATTTTAAAATTATATGAGAAAATAATAATAAATAAAATAGTAAATTACAAAACCTTCCCGAAACTTAAGTTAAATAACGAACAATGCACCACCATTGCAATAACCAAAATCCCCATCTCATTAATTGTTGATCGAGTTTTTAAACATAAAATATGTATAGTCTATTATACCTTATACTAAATAGATGAGAAATAAAATAAAATATCTGAAATTGTGTAAAATCTATTCGCTGGAATTAAAAAAAAAAATGACGGGAACAAACCTCAGGGTTTTTTGGTAATTATGAATAGGTGGAGGTGATTTTTGTAATTTAGTCTAAGTTTAGGAGGTTTTCGTAATTTACACTAAATAAAATAATTATTATAAACCTAGCTAGTTAATTAATTTAAAAATGATTAGCAAAGTAAATTATAATGGGCTAGAAGGTAATATATATATTTGAAGGAAATGTAAAATGGGCTAAACCGAATAAGGTTAAAATGGGTACTACTTGATCCAATAAGTAATGGGCCATCTAACTAAACCCGGCCGCATGTGCGAAGAAAAGGAAGAAAACGAGGGTTAGGGTTTTAGATCGGTCTTCATTTTCCACACTGCTCCGACGAAAAAAAGGGCAAACAAAAATCTGCAAAAAAATGTTTCCGGGAATGTTTATGCGGAAGCCAGACAAAGCGGCGGCGCTGAAGCAGCTGAGGAGCCACGCGGCAATGTTCGGAGCTTGGGTCGCCGTTATTCGGGTCGCCCCGTACATTCTCCACTACCTCTCCGATCAAACTGAGGAACTCAAGCTCGAACTCTGATTATCATCGCCGCCCTGATTTTACCTCAGGTACCGATTTTGAATCCGATTCGAGCTGTTGTATGTGTGAATCCTCTAATTTCACTCCTAATTGCTAACAATTTAAGTTTTTTTTCCCTCTCTCAAATGATGAAATTGCGAAATTTGTTTGGATTTTTTTGTTGTTTGTGATTTATTCTTGTCATATGCTGCATACTTCTAGAACGAGTGCTTCAAATTTCTTTTTCTAATCTATTTATTGCGGATTAATTCAATTTATGATATTATTGTGTTCTTCCTTACTATACGCTCATGCATTTTAGGATAATAAACCCCCTTGTTTGCTATTGCACTCGAACACATAGCTGTAGGTTCGAATATGAAATTTGTGGAATCAACAGAATTAGTTGTAAGCATTAGATAATATGCGAGTATATTCCGTACTCGGTGTACTAAAGAGCTTTTATTAGCTGATGTTGGTTAAGATACGATATGCAAAATTATCTGAAACTTTATTTTTGCTCGTTTACTTATGCCTCCTCCATCTCGTTCCTTCCTTTTTGAAGCTTTCCGGGACATTCTTTACCTCTGGTGTAGTAATTACGAATAGTGTACAATTTCTTGTTCTGTTTGCTCTTTCACTTCTCCTATCTTGCTATCGGAACCAGCCTTGTATTCCCATGTTTGTGGTCAGTAGGAGTAAAATTTAAGAAAGTTTGTGTGAAAGTAGAATAATAATACAGAAATATTTGACCTGCAATCTCATGTACTCGTACGATCCGTGTGCGTGTATTTGAACCATACTGAAAAAATAGAACATGAATTGACGGAAAGAAGGACCACACAAAAATTTCCCTATTATTTGTTGTAAAGAATTTTGCACCCTCGTTTTTATTTTTGGAAAATCGACTAGTTCATAGTTGCTTCTCTTTGAAAATGAAGAAAATATGATAATACCTTTGTTTTTTATAATTCGAAATATAATTTGGCAGTAGAATATTTGTTTACCTAACATCGGCGTATCAAGAAGAGCATCCTTGCTAATTTGTTCTTTCGCGCTGTGTTCTTATTGTTGCTGTTGTACAGAGCTGGAAGGAGAGGAAGAGAGTCGCAAGTTACATTTCTCTTGTATGTTCTCGTTTTTTCTTCCGTATCTTTTGAATCATATTCCCATGTAGTTGCTCAACTATTTGAGATCATACTAGTTCGAAAATTCTTCTTTTACTCGGGTTCCGATTCTATTTGCATTAACTGTACTTGCCGTTCTATTTTGTTAATAACGCAGAGCAATCATGTTTGGACTATATTCGCTTGTGCTCGATTTTTTTTTTCTCTTTCATATGCATCATATGGGGTATATGCTCGCAGAATTTAAGCGTGTAGGATTATACAATAATGTCTTAGAATAAAAATTAGAGAATAAGTGCTTATTAGCTTTAATATTGTGACTTTGAATAAACCACAGAATCAGATTCATGCTGCCCTATTCAATATGCTTTCCTAGTGTTAATGTATAATGCTTCAAATCACTTTATGCCAATTACCAAAATTATTACGCTGAGTTTTTTTAGATGTTTATTTTCTTTTAGTTTCTTTATTTATTTATTTTAATTAATTAATTATTTTGTTTGTATCCACTAAAAGAAACAAAAAGAAGATAAAGAGTGGCGATGTTGATGCACATATATCTCATTTTATTTTGAAGCCTTTTTCTCCAACATATAGTATACTTTGACCAAATGAGTTGAGTATATTTCTCTCTTTATCAATGTTTTTGAGTGATTTTAGAAGATTGCTTAAACAATTGGTGATGCTTCTTTCTTAAAAGCTTTATGTTTTCGTGCAAGTTTGCCCTATTTAGACTCATTTTCTAAGTTAAGTAACATTATATTCCATAATCACGATTCAAGAACATCTACACATTTAGAACATTTTGAAAAATGGGCAAGTTTTCAAAGTACTTCACTTCAATCCTTTCATATAAGCACGCATTTTTTTGGGGGTTCCAATGAAGTTAATTGGAACTTCTTTCGAGTCTGTGCAGATTAACGGTTAATAGTCACCTGGTGCATATCACTGGTTAGTATCAAATAAACCCTTCTTTAGGGAGGTTAAAAACATTGAAAGGTTTAGAATGATTTGACCAAAGAATTTGTTCTTTCTTGCCACCTTGGACACCAAGAACACAATATATGATAGAGCTCAACTCATTGTAATACAATATATGCCAATCGTACATGTGTTAGGTGATTGTGATGTCAAATATATGCTATTATTATGCTCCTTGTCTTGATAATGACAGCTAAAAACCCCATTATCCATTACATATATCCACACTATTCAACTTGCCAAATTCTTATTCTACCCCTTCGTTGATATAATCTCATCTTTATTATTTTTTTTAAACATCATATAATTTGTTACATGATGTTTTAAAAAAAATAAAAAATCAAAAATCAAATTCTTGTAAAGAGGTATTGTCAATTTTAAGAGCATTTAAATGGTATGTTTTTCACAAGTACATATATGCAAGTGAAAAAAATGAAATTGCCATTTTAATGTGCCCAAGTGCAGAGGAAAAACAATATAATGTATCTATATGTAAGCATAAATACGTATACTGCTTGAATTTGAAGCCACTAATAACCTTACATTACTCAACCGAAAGATGAACATCTTATCCCTATTATGCCCCTTAAAACGGCATCAAACTACAAATAAATCCGCTTCTAATTGCAGCTTATTAGCGCCGCCCACCCCCCATAATTCTCTAATTCCTCCGCCGCCCACAACCATGAAATACAACGAAATCTCCCACTTCAGCCACCCTCACCACAACCTCAAGTTCGAGTACTCTGAGGCGCCGTTCAAGTGCGACGGCTGCAAGGAGGCCGGCATCGGCTCCCGCTACAGGTGCTGCGGCGGCGGAGGAGGGCACTGCAACTTTGACCTGCACACACACTGCGCGGTGCCTTCCCCGTCGATCAGCCACCCGTTCTACACGAAATGCTCGTTCCAGTTCATGAGCAGGACGCCGGGAGCGGTGGCGCGTTACTGCAACGCGTGCGAGAAGGACGTGGCTGGGTTCGTCTACCACTGCAACTCGTGCGGCTTCGATCTCCACCCTTGCTGCGCCAAGCTCCCGATGGTCCTCGACGACGGCGAAATCAAATTGTACTTGTACAAAAAAGTCAGCTCCCCATGCCACAGGCAAGCTAATTAAATCGTGATCTCTCTTTCTCTCTCTAAGTTTATTGTTTTTGAAATTATATATAATATATAGGTGTGGGAGAAAGGGGAGGAGCTGGAGCTACAGATCGTCGTGCAAAAAGTACAACCTACACGTGGCGTGCGTGAAGGAGATGCTTGTTGACAGCTGGCACGAGATATACTACGGTGCATGGGGGAGCAGCTACACCACGGCCTACACCGGCTGGACTACTAGCCGGAAATTAGAGGCTACGACGAGGGTCCCCAGCTTAAGAGCTACCCTGGAGACGCACAATCACAAGCAGAGCAGCGGAAGCGGCGGCGGGAAAACAGCAGAGAAATGCTGTGAGGTGGCTGGTTTGGCTTTGCAGTTTGTTATATCTGCCGTTCTAGGTGATCCCACCACCCTTATTGCTGCCCTCGTTGGTAAATTAATGTCCAAATAAATAGCTATTACTAATTAATTATGTACTACTATATCTTATTATTAATAACAATAAAGTCATGTAACAAATGAAAATGTTAATTACTCCTATATATGTAACCATGTATCTAATTTGTCAGAATATTTATTAAGTTGGTGTAATTAATTAAGTACATCCTTGATTACTATGTTTTAATTATGGATTAAATTTAAGTTGTTTCAATTTAATTTGGTAATAAAGAAAACAAGCAAACTTATAAATGAAGAATTCAAGTTACAACTAGTGCACAATTTATTTGATATTTTAATAAAATGTAGAAAACTTTGACAAAAATGATTAAAACTATACTACACACACACACACACATTGATTTAAGGGGTGAAAAATAAAATAATAAATGAATTAATAATCAAGAAGAAGGCTTCATTTCAGTCTTGATAGCAGCAACTAAGTGATCATAGGCCACACACCAAGCCTTCTTCATTTCTGCAGACCACATTTCTCCCACAGCTTCTTTTATCGTCTCCATTAGTGCATATTTTGTCACCTGTTTTTTTTTTGTTTTACATTTTATTATTTTAATATTTATATAGAATAATTAAGGAAATTAAGTTCAAATTACGCTTGATTAATTACAGTACCTCAAAATGTTCGTCAGCGACGCCGTATTTGAAGTGCGTGGCTCCTAATTTTTTGAGGCTCGAATCTCTTATCACTACTTTCCCAGCTTTCCGGAGCTGTACCGCAGCTTCACACGTCTGCATAAAAAAAATATATATAAATTAATAACCTCACTTAAATAATAATTTCTTCAAATTCGGTAAAACTGTATTAAATTAAATGTTATAACAAAATGGAGAAAAGAAATTGTGGGGCCCACCATAACGAATACAGACTTAGCATGTGGCTTAAGCTTAGGGTTCTGATCCAGTGGAACTTCTGAGTCTCGAAGAAATGGGAACATCTTCTGAGCCGATGGTGCTATCTCAAATATCCTGTTATATTAATTATATTTTATATTATGATATAACTATATATAATTAATTAATTGAAAAAATAAAATAAAAATGGGGTAATTAATTAATAAATAAATTAATTACTTGAGAAAAAACTTGAGACCCCATTCACCAGCATTCTTCTTCATCAAGCTCCAAGATTGCACCACTAAAGCTTCTTGTTCTTCAGTGAACAAATTTGCCCCTCCAACATTTTCACACTTTATTTCTCCATCTTCAAAAATTAAAAAAAAAAAATTTAAAAATAAAAAAATAAAAAATAATAATGTAACTAATATAATTGAAAAAATATTAATAGTAATAATTAATACTAACCTTTGTTATGGTTAATGGTATCAAGATGTTCGGCCATGGTTTAATTTGGTATGGTAAATAATATTGAAAGTTACTGATTTATTTATTTATTTTTTTGGTGTGAAATTATTGAATGATTGTGTGAGTTTATATAGTGTTTTTTGATTGGCCCTTCATAAGAATTGAGAGCCATTGAAATTTAAATTAAAATTTGGTTTTTTAGTAACGTGGATGGATTAAATTGTAGAGCAAGGTGGAAGTGGTTGGGGGTTTGGGAAGGTGAAACCAGGGGCGGCGCACGGCGGCGGACACATGGTTTTCTTTGGTGGCGGTGGCGGGCGTTGACCGGAGATACCCATCTCTAGTCTACACTCTAGTCCATATATATTTATATATTAAATTGAATAGTGGGCTGATTTCATTCTCACCATATCTAAGTAAACTTACGAGTATATGAAATTTATCACATTATTTACCAAGTAAAATGACAGTTTTACCCCTGTTCTTTCTTGAAGTTATATCTAATTAATTACACATAAACCTCTTCAAGTTTGAATAATGACCCAAATACCCCCTAAAGTTTAGTTATACGAAATACAGTTTCCACCCTCAAGTTTGCATCAATTCTATATTTGGTCCTTCGGGTTCACAAAAACCACATTTGGTCCTTGATGTTTCAAAATTCAACACTTTTAGTCATTTTCGTCAAAATTCCGTTAGTGCGAATGGATTCCAAGTGTGTGACCATCACTATCTTAACTGAGAAACTAACGGTAAATTAATAATAATGACCGAAAGTGTTAAGTTATTGAAACATGATGGACCAAATGTATTTTTTTGTGAATATAGGGTACCAAATGTGCAATCAATACAAACTTGAGGGATGAAAACTGTTATTTTACCTGTAAATGTTAAACCCCATTTGGTCTTGGATTCATTGAAAAACAGATATATAACAATAAGAATTCCTTTGATCTCAGAGAAATTTGCATTTCTTGCATCTCAATTCACACAATTGTACAACAAACAGATGCTAATATACACACAAACACACACAAAAAAAAAAAGAATCCGATTTCAGCCACAACCATAACTCACATCAGGACTCGAAACAACGGCTCCAAACGGAATCTCAACTCGCTCTTTCACGACACACCTCGTTTCACCGTTTTCGATAACGGCCACTTTCCCCTTTGGACACTCACTCAATCTCTCTTTAAATAAGTCCGAAATCTTGATCCGATTAATACCCCGTTTCTTCAAGCGCGGTTCAAAACCGGCCAAACTCAGGACAGCAATCACCCCAACTATGGTCAAACCCGCCTTAACCGCAGTTCCAATCAAGACCGCAACCGATTCAAACGGGCCCCACAAAGAACCAGATCGCCCACTACGATTATTACTCTCTGCCGGTTTTCCGAGTGGAATTTTGCGAGTGGAAGTGAAGGCGTAGCCGTTTTTTTCCGAGAGTACGGAATTGGATTGAGAAGGTCGCCTCGGATACGGTGGAAGGAGGAGATCGTTTCGATCCTCTGTTTCGGAGGCGAAAGAAATAGCTTCGTGTATGACTTTTAAGTCTTTGCCTTTGTATTCGTTCAGCTCTTTAAGAAGCTTCTTTTGGCTGTACTCGATTTCGGCCAAGGCTGCTTCCTTTTCGTACCATTGCTGTTGATTCAGTGCCTGATCAAGAAAATTGAATTTAAAAACGGAAGCTTTAGTATCGAGAAGTTTACGAACATAATACGAAATGATTACAGACAGTCTATATCCAAGCTGAGTATTCATTCATTCATCTTACACACAATTGAGCTGTTTTTCGACCTCTTCGAATTTCAAGCTAGCGAATTCCAATGAGGCATTTCTTGTATGAAACAAAATTCACCAAACCCTAATTCTAATTACATTTCAATTCCACAATCAATTACAACTGGTTTCCTAGTTTAGTGACAGAATCATAAACCCCCATGAAAAAATTGTGTATGAAGCAGCAGCAAAATTCAAAAAATCAAGAACAAAAGTCCCATATGAAAAAGAATTTTTTTTTTGTAAAGATTCGATTTTTAAGAAGGGAACCTGCAAAGAAGAGAGCTGGGATTCAAGGGAATCAAGGGCATCTTTGATGTTGAGAAGATTCTCTGATTCTTCATCAAAATCGTGTGATTGTTCATCTGGGTTTTCTTCAGAATCGCTCTTTTGACCTTGTTTCTTTACTGTAGAAGAAGGTGAAGAAGTTCCGCTAATGCAGGTAATAATCTTGGACCTCAAATCCGAGGTTCTTGCCAACACCAGTGCTATTCTATCTTCATCCATTCCTCTGTGTGTGTGTGTGTGTGTGTGTGTGTGAATTCGTTGAGGTTGCAAGAACCGCCCAAAAACAAAATGTGATCAAAATCCGAGGATTTGTGGTTTAAATTTTCAGAGAGAAATTTGTTCTCTCTCTCCCTCTCTCTCTCTCTCTCTCTCTCTCTCTTAGTTCTTGAGAGAGAGAGAGAGAGAAATCAAGAAACCGGCTTCAACAAAATGTCATGGTTGTGTGGTCATGATAATTTAGGGTACAGACAATAGTTTAATTTTATGTTTGGATTTTTTCGAGTGATACATCCATTTATTGTATATAAAGTCAATGTACAAGAGCTTTCTTTCATTTCTTATTGAAAATGACGTTTTTAATCTTCAACCCAATTTCCCCAATTGCTTTGTTGGTTCAATTTATGTCACATCATTTGTTACCTAATTGCTTCATTAGTTGTTTAACAAAGAAAAAAGAAATCAAGACAAAAAATGTTAGCACACATTGAATCAAATAACATCTCATGAGACTAGTTCATCCGAAACCCGAAAATCGAAAAGCAAAGTTTGTGAGGGGATCAAGCATTTCTTCTAATGGAGATAATCCCGTTTCCTTAACGAAATATTCCACATTTTTTGGTACAATAAGCAATTTTCGTTAATGGAGATCCACACAGTTAAGGTTTCTAAAATATATGGAAGGGTCGTTGAGCACTTGTAGCTGACGCCCTGTTGGGATTCGTCCCGACAAATTATTGTTGGACAAGTTCAAATAGTTGAGAAACATCAAATTCGATACACTTTCGGGTATTTCTTCGACCAAATTATTGTTCGAAAGGTCGAGTGACTCCAACAACCTCAAGTCTCCGATTTTGGTTGGAATTTTCCCTCTCAGGTGGTTACGAGACAGATTGAGACCGACTAAGACAGAAGACCTTGTTAGCTCCAATGGAATTTCTCCGACAAAATAATTACTCGAAAGATCCAAATCGACAACATATTTTGAATCAGTTGTGTACTCCATTTGTACGCCTTTCATCACTTGATTCAAAACCATCGACCTCCATTCACTATCATAGAAGAACACTAATAAGTAGAATATATAATTTTATCAACTATCTAAAAGAAAAAAAGAAAAATAAACATTATACACACACACACACATATACATATATATATATATATATATATATATATATATATATATATATATATATATATATATATATATCAAACACGCACATGTATGTTTGTATGTATTAGTAAGTGACACGTGCAACGCCCGTGATTCTAATGATTTTAGTCGATGAAAGCTAAATAATTTTAAATACTTCATAAATTAATACATATTAAATGAAATTAAAAAACATGTGCTAATATGATTAATATAGGAATACAAAACTAAAATTATTTGAATCACTAAACTATGTAAAGAAAAATAAAATAAAATCTACACATTATAACTAAACCATATTTTACACATGAGGTCCTATTTGTATGAATTCTTCTTTTGTTCGATTACGATGATGGTTGAAATTATTGTTTTATTTCATTAACTTCTTTACATACATTAGTTTTTAATGATGACTCGATGATTTTATCACAATCAGAATCACGTGCGTGTCATGTGCGAATCACGTGGTGTCATGTGCGACTACCTCAAGTGCGAATCAACTGCAAGGAGTAAGCTCCTCAAATGGAGTTTGGAATGAACCGTGTAAGCGAACATTTCGGAAATTTACCAATGAAGCGATTACCTCGCAAATTTAGATTCTCCAATTTGTCAATCCAACACCTGGTCAAGTTTTGAATGACTCTCGAAATATCCCCGTAGAGTTGGTTATCATTGAGTTGCAATGACCTCAAGCTGCATTTGTCCGATAGTAAATCAGAGATCCAATCTGTGTCGTGGTAAAGCTTATTGGAAGAGAGGTCGACGTGTACAACGTTGTTTGGAAGAAGAAATCGAGGGTTGAAATCAGACGAAGAATTATATGAGTTTTGTGAAAGATCGAGATATTCGAGCGAAGTCATATTTCGGAGAAAGCAAGGAAATTCGAGCGAAGTCATATTTCGGAGAAAGCAAGGAAATTCACCGGTGAATGAGTTATGGCTGAGATCAAGGTACTGGAGTGCATTAGTAACAAGTAGTGGTGCAGAAGTGTTGAAACAAAAAAATGACCGGGTAGGTTTGAGTTATCAAGTCCGGTTGCAGACATTTTCAACAAATGAGCTTATAGAGTAGATTAACTAAGTTTCATTGGATTAGTTGTTCGACGGTGCTTCAAGAAAACGAAAACATTATTAATTATTCAAAATAATTTTTCTTAAAAAATTGCAAAATTTAGATGTTATGTTTATATATATATCTTAATTTTTTAATGATGATTTTATCATAATCAGAATCACGTGCATGTCATGTGCGAATCACGCTCATGTCATGTGCGAATCAAGTGCAACAACTGCAAGGAGTAAGCTCTTCTAATGGAGTTTGGAAGCCCCCTTGTTCCCCCCCCCCCCCCCCCCCCCATATATTAATGTAGATAAATATTTTAAATATTTATTAATATAAGCCTCATTATAGAATAAATATATTGCATATTTGGATTATAATTTATTTTTTTTAAAACAAAAAATTTAGAAAAAATATGCAATAGGTTATTTAATTTAAAAAAAAAACATATTTTTAACAAAATATATTTATTCTATTGATAAAATAAAATAAAAAATTAATATCATATGCTATAACTATGTTACTTATTATTCTAAATTTAATTTTGAGAAAAAAATATTTAGTAATTCTTTTGTATGATGAACTCATATTTATGTTCTATTCAATAATATTTCAATTCTAATATTAATAAAAAAAAATTACTGTAAATATTTTTCAGTTATTAAATTTCGTTATTCTTAGATAATTATACATGATAGTAATTAAATCTTATATATAAAATAAAACAATTAACATTGAAAATATATATAATTTATAATGAAAAAAATTATATTTTAGGCCCCTATTAGAAATGGGCCCTCGGCGTGGACTTCATTTTCCTTTCCTTCGTTCTTGTTGCAAGTTTGCTATGATAATATCTAATAAGATTTAAAAGGGCCTAAAAGAAAAGCTGTATATTTTAATTTTTACATCAACGATTAGTTGTTCGACGGTGCTTCAAGAAAACGAAAACATTGTTAATTCAAACTAAATTTTGTTTAAAAATTGCAAAATTTAGATGTTACACGCGTTTCTCATTGTACTAGTTCGTTCGAAAGCAAAAATCGAAAAGCAAAATTGTGAGGAATCCAGTCGACTTTCTTCGAGAACTTTCCTCGATGAGAACTCTTCACCGAAGAGTGAGGCATCGAGTGCTCGAGCATTTCCGCTAAACCCGATTGAGATAATCCCATTTCCTTTACGTAACATTCCACATTCTTCGGCACGAGCAATCTTTGTTCTTTGTATATCTTTATATTCATTTGAATGTACTCTTCTTTCGCCATTTCTAGCTCCTGAAACACTTTCTTGGCCGTATAAACACGAACCTACACATAATCGAATATTTATTACTACATTATTACTTTTTTCATATTTTTTATTTTATTAATGTTGCAGAAAAAAGAAAAAAAAAAATTGGTGAGCTTACTAATGGATCGGATAAACATCCGGAACAAAGGGCGAAACGCAAACGAGGCTCTGCTTGCTTCACTGTGTACGCCTTTCTAACATCTCCGGCTTTAAATTTTTTCTTGGTGGAAAATAATGAGTTTAGCCACTGTAATTTAACAAAAGAATTTCGACTGCGTACAATTAGTCCGTGAAAGTATATTTAATTTTAAAAAACTTGAATTTATATATAACGATCGTTTTTTTCCGTTACCAGAGCCGGACGAGGCAATCGGCACCCTAAAATCGAACTCTGTATTGTGTCTATACTAATGGTTTGGCCTCCAATGTTGTATGCTGCCTGGAAAATCGGATAGAGCAACTCTTTTCGTATTAATTTAATTCATGCAAAAACAATCGAAAAATGGACAAATAATTAACGTAAAATTCCGACAAATCGAGTTTTTTTTTTCTTTTTTCGGTACCTTGAGGACTAAGGAGATTCGCTTTACGCTTCCTCGTGGGATTCCGTAAACTATAAATGCCTGAAATAATTGCAGAAAATGGTTACATTTTAATATTTATGCATTTAAATCTATTTAATATTATAAATAATTTATATAAATTAATATCTTACATGCATTACTAATGCATTGTGAACATTAATCCAGAATGCTAATTTCTCTTCATTCTTTAATTTCCCTGGATCAATTTTGCCCAACCTGGAAATTAGGGACCTGCAAATAGTAATTAATATCAATGTTAATTAATATTATCACAAACATAATTAATTTAATTAAACTTTTTTTTTCAATTACCTATAATTCTGTAGCGGTTCTTGAACAGCATTTAGCCGTTCGGAATCTCGAAAGATGCCCTGTATTTCGACCATGGCAAACAAAGTTCCGGAAAAGGAATATTCTTCGTCGTCACGGCCTCGATTAAACAGGGGAGGATCGGATAGATGACAATAAACGGTCGAGATGCATTTGATCATCTCCTCCGATAACCAATTAGGCGTCTCGGAAACACGGTCGGCAAAACTAGAGCCGATGTAGTAATACTCCGCCGTATTACCGATCGAACCGTTATCGGCCTTTATCCTCTGCAAAGGAAGAGAATGGTACGAATCGAAAGGTTCGGTGAAAGGAGGCGAAGCTCTGAAGGAGCAAGCGGAGCGGTGAGATAGAGACGAGAGGCTCCGGAATATTCCGGTATCTACGGGAGATTCCGTTCCCATTGTAGTGGCATTGTTGTAATTTTGTAAAGGTTGTGATAATTCTTCTTGCTTAAGCAATTCTAAGCTACGAGCTTCATTTTGATTCAGTGCTGTGCGTAGATTCGATAGCCTTTTCGCGAAGTTTCGACGGTACATTGATAGAAGGTATTTTTCTAGATACACAACTTCATTCTCTAATTCAGCAATTTCTTTAATAAGATCTTCAGCTGGCTGCCAAAAAAACAAATTGATAATTAATTTATTTATTACAGGCAAATTCATTTTCTATTGCACAAGATACTATGAAAAATAAATAAATTAAAATTAAAAAAAAAAAAAGAACCTGAGAAAGTAGTAATTTGTGAGAGGGGTGATTTGAAAGAGGGTGGCAAGTGTTGATTGCTTTCTCTAGAGCAGATCTTTGCATAGTTTGGGCTTCTAATTCTTTTTGAAGCATTAAAATCTACAAGAGTTGGAATTTATATTATAATTTATGACGTCATAAATCACAGAGCAAGAATTCAAGAAACTTTATATTAGTTACCTCGTCTTTCAACAAACTTTGTGATAGTTGTCTCTTTCTGGGTTCAAAGCTCTTCTTCAGTAATTCACCCATAATTTCAAAGCAATTCAATACACCTCACACAGAGAGAGAGAGAGAGAGAGAGAGAGATATGATGGAATGGAAGTATAATAAATGAAGAATCTTGAGAAGTAGTGTGAAATATATATCAAAGGATGTAATAATTGTTGAAGAAAGAAGAATTAAATGCAGGAAACAGACATTCCAACAGAAAGTGTAGAAGAGAGACAAAAAACAATGACATATATGAAAACCTCCAAAAATAGCATTAAATTTGGTGACAACAAAATAGCTTCTGCTTTCTCTCTCTATGGGAAAATAAAGGGTAAAATGCAGACAATACACACACACTAAAACACACACACACACTGAGATTCTTGGAAAGCTGCACCAGAAAACTACTATTGGCAGCTTACATAAAAAGAAAAAAAGAATAAATAAATAAAGGCGTGGACTCCTATAATAAAAAATGAATATAATAATATATCAATAAAATACTGATTATTTTTGTCAATTTAAAAATAATATTAAATGGTGAAACTCTGTTGATGAATTTGTAGTGGGGGATAATATATTGCGTGCGTTGACTGGTCACATCTTTATCAGAAAAGCCATTGCCACCTTTGTATTGGCTTTTCTTTCTTTCTTTATTTCTAATTTCTTTATTAAGTTTTTTTTTTTTTTTTTTTTTAATGCATCAAAAGCAGTAATTAGTTGGAGGGCTTTTTTGATATGTGAAAAAAAAACACTGGGCATTTAATGCTTCAGATTCACTAGCTATAATTTACTGTCATATCTGATTTTTTTTTATTTTTTTTTATTATTTAAAAAAAATTAAAACTAAGAAAAAAACAGAAGAGGGGACAATATGCATATACATATATATATACAGATTACAGCAGCAGCAAAAAGCAGAAGTTAGTCCGTGACAAATTGAAATTTGAAACTGTTTACCCATCTCCAAGACTCCATTTTTAACTATGTTTTTTACTTCCAAAAAAAAAAAAGAAAAAGACTCCATTTTTAACTTAGCTTTTTTTGCAAAGATGGTAACAAATTAAAGAAGAAAATAAAGGTAAAAAGGAAGATTGACTATTGTAGTATATACAATAAAGTTTAAAAAGATACTTCCTTTAATGGTGATAATCTGAACTTCATTTATCTCTTTCTTGCCCTTTTGTTAGCTTTTCTTTATTTAAATAATTAAATAACTAAAATAATGTGAGAGTATATTACATAAAATCCCTTATTAAAAAAAATTAAAAAAAATCCCTTATCAAATGTATTGGATACTACCAAAGAAAAGGATGCTAGCTAATCATTTCTTGCCAACACAATATCTAAAATTAAATTAATTTGTACAAATTAATAAAGTATTCTCTAAGTTCAATATCAATTAATTATATATTAATTAAAAGAAAACATGCACTAAAATATGATGGAAAACAATCATGCAATGCATGGTAGCAAATTGGTTGGGAAAAGTTTACACACCATATAATAAGATTGGCTTTTAGCTCACCTCAAAAGGGCTGAAAGTTGAAAGCTCAAACAAAAAGCTAATAAAAAGTGATTCTTCAACTCACAATTTAGATTCCTTTTTGCATGGCCTTATAACTCTTTTTTATTTCTTATCTATAACATTTTTTTTAACAATATTAATGCAATAACATTTGTGATTCACAGCTCAGTTAAAAAAATTCATAAGAAAAAAGAAAATGCAACTTTTTTTATTGGGTTATGTGCCATTTAATTTTAGGGTTCTTGAATAAGAATTGACATTCCTATATAAAAAGTTCACAATCTTTAGGATTGTCTAGGGTTTCTCAATTTGTTTTTTTGGATATGTTAAAATGGTTTCTGAATTATAGTACTAACTATATATATATTTCAAGAAGCTAGTAAATAAATTAAGAAAAAGAGTTGGTGACTGAGTAAATATTAAATTTGAAATAAGACAAAACCTGCTCTGCAAATTACAGAAAATAAAACACATTTGTCGCAAGAGAGTTTGTATTAACTATTAATTGTTGACTTTATTACACTTCTTGAATTTTGTTCAAAGTGAAAATGGCTGATTTAAGAAATTCATGCTATTTTGTCGTCACGTGCAATATTTTTTTATTTATTTTATTAAATAGGGATATTAATTACCGACAGTGTTAATAATATAATTTAATTGCAACAGTCTTCTAGTAAGTCAATTATGACTTTCCAAAAGAATCTTATACAGACAGACATAAATACTATATAGTAGACCAATTAAATACTACATAAAACCAAGGTTCTAAAAGGCGGTTATCGGGTACGTGGCGGTTTGGGACCGCCACACGATAAATCGGCACGGCGGTGATTTATCGGAGATAAATCGGAAATATATCGATTTTTAAATTTAGTGTAATATATTTCTAAAAAAATATTTGTAAATACTCAAAATATATATAAAAAAATATTTAAACATAATTCTATCCTATCATTCATATGTTATTATATAATTCTAATTACTCAATAAATAACAAAAATTTAAAAATAATAAGATCATAATATAATAAAAGATTCTTACGAAATACAAATACCACGCAAGTCTTTCGCATCAACAATTAATATAAACACAACAAAGCATAAATTGCGGGGTAGTACTTGGTTTGGTTTTGGAAGTTGAAAAAATTGGAGAAAAACAAAAAATCAAAACATATTTTTATTTTAATTTAAATTAAAAAAAAAAAAAAAAAAACCGATTTGTTGACTGATATATCGGTTTGACCCA